TTTTTTTTTTCGTAGATGATAAATCATCGCCATGGATTTTAATCAGGACATACTGAGTTTTAAATTAAAGTGTTTAAATGTGTTATGTGTTATAATTCAAATCTATGGTCGACCCACCGCTATTTCACATGAGTGAACCTGTCTGAATTTATATACTGCCGCAGTGCTCGATGACACGGGGCACTTGTTTCATGACAGATCAAGGGCCGGTCTCAAAGAAAACTTATGACCATAACATTTTGCCTATGTCAATTCGGGAAATCTCAAAAGTAGTATGCTAAAATCAATGTATTTTTAGAACATTAGAAATCTCTTTTGTGTTATGATCAATGTGCACGAAGTAATTCTGTTGGACAAATACTGGTTTACTTGGGTCAATTCAAGCAGACTTAATGTTTGACCAGAAACCCCAAAACCAGAATCAGGCTAACGTTCTTTTGTGATTCCGCCTCCACCTGTTCGATGAAAGGGCTTAATAGTATAGCCCGTGAAAGTAATAGAGCTGATTTTGAATTAGCTATATATTGCATGGTCAAAAGCGTTTCACGCATGATTGCCCGGCAAATGTGACACTGTGAACAACACTCAGTGCCAGCAAGACTAGAATTTGGTACATAGACTTAACACACACACACGCACACACACACATACGTTTTTTTTTTTTTTTGCATACGTTTAACTATCGGAATGCCTTTACCGTAAGCTTCTCATAAACGAAAAGCACGTACATTCACGGTGCAAACAATGGAGCGTCCTCAATGTACCCCGTTACAGATCGTTGTTTTGTTGTACGGGTAGTTAAGTGCCATCCCACAATGTCATTCAGTTCTGTAGCACATTTAACCTCGTAAAACCTTTGACTCATACCTGCATATGCCAGGCGAGATAGAAAATGTGCTTTGATTAAATCTGAACGCATTAATTAAGCTGGACAGAAAATAAGTGGCAAAAGGTCAGCTGTGTGGAAACGGATGTCACGGTACATGTAATAGGGGTAAAAAATAGTGAAAAGCGGTCCTTTTCAAAGATTAGATAGGCATGTTAACTTTTTGTCGGATTCAATACAAAAATATAGCGTACAAACACAAAGTGAAGGCACCAAAACGTGCAACAGTCGCGGTTTGTACTACGATTTTATTTCTTTCCTTCAGTCTTACTCACTTATATTAATTAACTTTACTGACATCAATTACAGGGTATATCCCACAGTACGTAGCGTTTGATTTCGAACCCCACTGTACATATGTATAAAGAGATGGGATTTATTATTAAAATTTAAATAAATACGTTTTTTAATTTTATAATTCTAATTCAGCAATTAAACTCCAAGTTGGTTGAACTTTAAAGAGAGATAGGCAAGTGTAGTGTAGCTAGGAGTTAAGTATGTAACTTTATTGAGAAGAAAATTTTCCACTTACCATAGCAAAGACGCAACCGCTGCTAATTTCTTCGTTTCCAAAATACACGAAGTGTTTGCTGGCACGATCCACGGCAGCAAATATTTTGGTTTCTTAGTCCTACCCGCCAATTGCAAACTGCCCGGTTTACCTGACAAAGAAAATGGCATACCTTTAACGCGATCAAAGGGCTCATTGTCCTTGACTTCCAATAGTACGGCTGACAGCAACCGTACTTTGGACCAGTACTAAGTATTGCATAAGTACGCATAACACCGACTTACTTAGTCCGTAGAGAAAAGACAGTGACAGTGCATCTGACCATACAATGTGAACGCGACTTGCATTACCCAAAAAATCTGATTTCAAAACACCTACTGGTTAACGATGGGAAAAACAACGTCAGGTACAAGTAAAAATTATGCCGACTCCCTGTATCAAAACATATTTTATGACAATGAAAAGGTGCGAATGAGTTTTGAAAGGTTATCAAAAAATATATATATATACAATTACATGACACGCCTTTTACAGACTCTTTGGTCAATGACTAATGAGATCTATTGAAATCACAATCATGCTATTTGCTCCAGTTTTACTCCGACATTAATTCTAGTAATATTGAATGAACAGTACATTACAACAGCAGACAAATGTTGGCAATTTCATAGTAGCACTGAATGCGTGACCAAATTAATACACTGAGATGCGGGTTTATTTATTGCAATGCACTACATAGTGCATGTAGTATAGGGAAACTGCATATGCAATTAAGTAACGTGCTTTCACTTTTAAGTACACTGTTGTATCAGTATTGACCAATTCATTTTCATGATTCATTCATGTCCTATGGTGTCCTGAGTCCTCCAAGTTTGATTTAATTAGCACTGGGAACTATATTCTGTCGCCATTTCCGGTGTGTAGCAATTTTCTGTTGAAATAATCCTAGGATCTCTGTTAACGTAACACTATACACATCACTCTTTGTTTGAACGGGACAATTCGGTAGCAGTAAAAGTAATCTCAAAAGAATGTCAAACAACTGCTAAATGAATATTACATAGTTCGATTTTGGAAATGCTACGATGTAGCAATGTGACAATGTGATGCATTTGTGACAGGCAACAAATATCCCAAATTTCACATTGAGCATGATGAACACTCACTTCTTGGGCTCATTGGATCCTCAGTTAGTACCTAGCGTCAAGCAACTGATGTTGTTTTTAAAAATTGGCCATAAGAAACTAGTGTCGTTTTGTGGAAACAATTCTGGCAACCAGAAACTAGCGTTGTTTAAAAAAAACGACGTTGGCAAGTCACTACCTTCCCTTTTTAAAACGCTTCTGACACCCAAAAAAGGGACGTTTTTCAAGAAAGACCCTGGCAAGAATAAACCATTTGGGCCTTTCAAAGGGAATTCTGGCTTTCAGACGCTAGCGGCGTTTTTCAAAAAAAATGGTAACCAGAGAGACTAATGTGGTTTTTTTCAAGAGCATCTCTAGAAACGAGAACTAGTGACATTTTTAAAAGAAAGATGTTGGCAATCAGAACCTATTGTTGTTTTTCAAAATGATTTTGACAAGAAGAGATAAGTGTTTTCTGTCACAAGGGATTTGGGCACCAAGAAACTAGTGTCGCTTTTCTTTTTCAAAAAAGTCTTGCAACCATAGAGACTAGTGTGTTTTTAGTACAATTTTAGTAACAAGAAACATGTGACGTTTTTCTAAGAGCGATCCTGGCAAACAAAAACTGGTGTTGTTTTTTCAAAACGATTCCTGCAAGAAGGGCCGGCTGCTTGTTTCTGCTACGCAAAAGAATCGTTAGTTATCATCTAGCCTATAGCTGTATTCATCACGAGTTTAAGGGGAATCCGCCCCTCCCCTGACCACGAGTGTCGGACTGCTGTGTACGTTAATCATCATGCATCTAGCTATAAATCACATCAACTCTGGGCATAGGTGGATCTGACATCAACCGTATGATACATGAGTCACTGTATGTGTCTCAACCTCTGGGAAGCCATTTTCTTGCCAGATTTTTCGCTTTTTTTAATACCCAGGATTTTGCTAGGTTTGAGAGTAACAAACACAAACATTTGCCCTGTTTTAGGCGCGAAGTCCAAAATCATATCTCAAAATGTGTTCCATACGGAATCTAAAGTACAGGTAATCTCTTTTCTTGCCTCTCAAAGTGAAGTGTTAGGCTGTCTTGGTACTGGTTTTACGCACAGTTTTGACTATAACCCTTTTAAGGTATGTCAACTATATTAATTTTATGTCAGTTGGTCGAGAAATATTCTGACTGAAAAATATACTTTCTTATCTCGTCGACAGTACTTATGAACACAAAAATCCCTTTGGCGAAAACATCTTGGTCTTTGCTTGTCGTTTAGCACGCCAATCACATCGAAGCGCAAATTAAGACATCAACTCATTCCTGTCTATCAAGAGAACTCTGCCCGTTTAATCTGTCCTTATGTTATCAGCAATGAGAATCATTTGATTAATTGGCTTCGGTTAATTCCTACCGGCCAATTAATCAATCAACATTAATTCAACCACTGCCCCAGTGAGAGCGCGTTCAGCCCTTTAAAATGCCTCACATGTCCGTCATGCATGCTTCCTGTGTGATGGACATTGATAAAGACTTATTGAAAACGTGTTGTCTATGAAAAGGGAAGCTCACTTATTGCCATCAATGTCAGTTCAAATTGTTCATCTCCCAGGGAAATTCCACTTAATTAGGTAAGCATCGATTTATGGCAGGTAAAAAGAGCAATATTCAATGTGCACCTGTCGAAGGATGTGCTAAAAGTTCAGCACTTCCATAGGCATTTCAGTAGGTTTTATCTTTATAAATAACTATACGGTTACTATTAAAGACGGTCTTTATGTCATAACAGTAACTACAAATGCATACATCTATATTTCTATTATTCTGGTCGGAGAGGGTACCAAATAACGCCAAATTACGTCATTCGGTGAGAAAAGAGTAAGAAAAACAGCAAAATACCAGATTGCCGTATATCAGCAGGACGCAATTCTGAAATATCTTCATCATGCTTCCTCTCAAAATACATTGCTTGATTGATTTGATCGGCTGATGACGCCAAAAAGTCTCAAACCAGTTTAACCTCCCAAAAGCTGTGTTGAATACTCCGTAGTGTCATTGAATGGGCGCATTGCATGCAGCAGCTAATAGGTCTCAATTCCTTCTGAAACCTCTCATCATCTCCTGTAAACTTCTTATACCACATATATGTATGAATATGACATTTTCATTTCGTACCAGATAGCTTCTGATCAATAATGTATAAAATGTGGAGCTAAGAGTACCAGCAGCACAGCTCTAAAAGCTCAAGTATTGCAATCAAATTAATAAAGCATGGTAAACATATACATAATGAAAACCAAATTCTACATATAAACTTGTCTTCCCAGTCTTCAAAATATGACCAGGAAAATCACAAAGGTCTACTAGTTTCAAAACATGACAACGGTATACTTGGATAGTTTAATTTGTACAAAACATATACCGAAATGCTTTAGAAACATTTTATCAGTGCAATATTCCACCTCACGAGAAATTTGATGTAAATTTTTCAAAGAGCAGTTTAATCAGATCAAACGTGTCTTACAAATGTATGACTCCAATATTCATATTTTGTGAAACGCGATTCTATGAATAAATGTATACATACTAGTAAGTACACGGAGTTCACTTATATCTGGCGTGTGGCGACATGAACTGACACAAGCATAACATAGCATGACCTGTACATGATAGACAACAAAAGCAACCCACTTATCTGATATTAAATATATAGCAAATGCAATGAAGTGATAATATATATATACCTGTCTAAGTCATGGGGGATGATACCCCGGTAGAACAAGTATAGATGCACAATCTGTGAAGCCCAACTTCACAAGAAGTAATATGATATGCAATCGATATGTAAGAAACCCTAAGATGCCTAAAAGAAGACATGCGCTTGTCCTTTGAACGAAAAATCTGACATGCACTGTCTGCTGAGCAACGGTATCGTGAGGTTTAAGCTTACTTCCATTAGTTCTATATTAGAGCTAGATGGACAAGCTACAGTGTGCATGCTCTTTGAGGAACACTTTTTTTCTTGGACGTCTCCGCCATCTACAGTAGTACAGTAGCTACAGAAACTTAACAATGAGCGATTGCTCACAATCGGAAGGTGTATAAATGATACACTAGCTGTCCTAAACGTGCACTTTAACAGATCTGATTATCCCAGAATTTAACTTGATTAGCTTGATTTAAATAAAACCCTGATCACCTACCTGCAGAGAGTGGCCTTTAATGCGTAACGCCAACGGTGAATCTACAGAGATATCGCAGGACTGTGGCGTATTAGATTATTTGAGACGTTATTTGATTTATGCATTGGGCGTAAAAGGACGATCCAAAGGGTTCACTTAAATCTTCCTTTCTCATCCAAATAATCTGTACGCTAGAAATATATCGAAATAGATTACCCAGCCTATGAAATACATTTAAAAAATCTGAATAGCACAAAAATGCGTTTTACAGCAACGCGCCTTAAAATTGAAGCGACAGACGTTGAAGTCACGTGGTCTGAGTCGCGTCGAGTTGCCAACGTGGGCCACGCATCAGCTAAAGCGTCATACTGAAGTTTGAAAAGGTGTGTGCTATGTTTAACACGGACACCAAAAAGATATCAGTTATAAAATATCTTAACAAAAAATCACAAACCGGTGCATGTA